GTTGTTCCTATTTGCTTGAATAATTGATTGAACGATACAATCAATTTCCTATACGCTTGTAGAAAAAATATTGTTCCTTACTCATGCGGAAAGTTTCTTTCCCGCACTCGACTGCTTGCCCGAACTCCGCTTCGCGTCGTTCGTGTCAACGGCAGTCACGTGCGGGAAAGAATCATTTTCCGCACTTGTTAGGAAAATTACTATTTTCTACAAGCGTGCGTGATTCACCCTATACCCGCACGCAATTTAGTTTGGGAAGTGTCATTTTCCCGCAACAGTACGGGAAAATTTTCCCACACTAGTGCGGGAAATTTTTTCCCGCACTAGTGCGGGAAAACAAAGATATGATATAATCGCTAGTAATATAAGTGGTTGGTGATGGAATATAAAAGTTTAAGATTGTTTGTTGCAGTATTAAGTATGTATGTTCAGAATCATCCATCAAATTGCACTATTTATTGTAAAAATTAAGAAATATTGAGAAATGAAAATGGATTATTTTAAAAATCCCCCTATAGATTTGGATTGATCTGACGGGAAACGTCAATTTGTCATGCCAATCAAACCTCAAATAAGTTTGAAATTGTCGAAGTGACAGACACAGAGCGTTACTGTCATTTTCGATTCAGTGGAAATGCCACAATGTGATCAAAAACTTCTAGCTATAGGGATTTGATACAGATGCGTTTATCACCAACGAAGTCTTAAGAAAGGTATGAGAAGCTATACACGCGTTTAATTGAATGGTGCAACAATAAAGAAATGAAAAAACCGAATGAAGAATAGGTATTTTTGGCTCATTCCATAGAAGTGTCTGGAACCTATAGAGACCAAACTCCTAATGGGCCTGCTGGCTTCCGCAATGAACCAACATAATGCGTCAAACTGTAAGTTCTCAATAGCTATTACTAATAATTAATAGATAGAGAATATATATCTCTTGTTAGTTGTTTCTATTTGCTTGAATAATTAATTGAACGATTCAATCAATTTCCTGCGCTTGTAGAAAAAATATTGTTCCTAACTCTTGCGGAAAGTGTCTTTCCCGCACTCGACTGCTTGCTCGAACTCCGCTTCGCGTCGTTCGTGTCAACGGCAGTCACGTGCGGGAAAGAATCACTTTCCGCACTTGTTAGGAAAATTACTAATAACGATTTGCCGTTTTAAAGTCGAATGAGTTTCGGAAAATAGTTGCTCGACATATTTCAAGTTTGACAACGAAAGGGTGTACTGACTAGATTTGCCGATTACGTCTGACCAGTACTGCTGGAGATGGAATGACAGTAGAGAATTCTGGAGAACATTTTCCGTGGGAGTATCTATAGAGAAGTCTGAGGTCGACGACTTTTCAACAGTATTCTGATTGTGTCAGAGAACTAGTGAGTGTAGCATCACCCACCAGGCGAATGTCTCATCTCTGGATAGCATCTTAGAGCATCAACGTATGTTTGGGTGCTGAACAGTATATTCTAAAACAGGCCGTGTAGATCATGAGGAGCTGTTGAGGTGTTGAGTGGATTGTAGATTTCCCCATGAAAAAACATTGCTGATGAAAATACCTAATTATTTCAACTGTGATATAGTGGACTTGGGGTGGGAATGGTGGTACCAGCAAATGGTGGTTACATCAGGCAAACTGAGTTCTACGTTTCTAGAAAAAATACAGGCTTGAATTTTGGAGGAGTTGGATTCAACGAGGTTGTTGGTTCCTTCCTGAGGCTGTAATTTCAGCAAGATCTTCATTGACAGCGTTGACCTGCCTTCGGTGTAAGTTCTTAGTTTCGTAGATATCGGAATTATGAAAGAAAACGTGTTATCTGGGCAAGTGCATGCTAAAATTGTTAGCATTATGATAATGACATGAAGATGAGACTGAAAAAAAGATTTACTATCATTGACTTCGCAATGAATTTCAATTCAAGATATTCTATTCTGATATATGTGTATGAAACGTTACTGGCTTTTGACTCACTATTACTAGGTGTGTTCATGAAAAATCTCTGTTTTGGATAATATTTTTTTTTCTCGTCTTTTTCGGATTTCTTTGTAATCAAGGATGTTTCATTTTTCATATGCTGCAACCAAGGTGTTGATATCCGTGATATCAGCTGCCTCGGCTGTTAACGATATAACACTATCATCGATTGAACTCCAAACCTCTTCTTCGCAGAAGAAATTGAAATTCAACTCTTCAATTTTAGCAAAATGCCTTTATGTGGTATGCCATGTGCATGAAAAGATTATTAGTGTCACTTCTAGACTTTCCTTTCAATCCTCTCATCCGTAACTTGGCCAACCCATTTCGTTGTTCATCAAACTATCATACCATATTCTTGCTGTATCCTTTGGTTTGCTAAGGACTTGATATACAGTGTGAAAACCTATGGTGGAATAAAATCCGTCTCTCCATTAAAAAAATATTGGAAAAATCCTCGAACAAGTCGATTTTTATTTCAAATGTACAAATGAAATAATCGAATAGTGTCCACCATTAGCAATAATTTGGTCAAAAATTCCTATAAATTTTTGATCGCCCGGCTACCAAGCGGATAGAAAAAAATAGACCGTAATATAGGGTGAGTCATGAAGAGCTGTACAGTGTGTCCAGTTTTCGATGCTTTTGTGCGATATCTCAGTTGTCTTTGGAGATAGAGAGTTACGGTTTTCACATCACTTTCTTACTTTTTTGTGAAACGGACAATGCCGCAAACAGAATTGTCACAGCTCTCCATGTTCTTGAGATACAGGGCGAAATTGAAAATTCTCACTTTTTGAGCACCTCCCGTATCTTGGTTAGTATCCAACTTATTGTCAAGGTTAGAACGGGACCCTGTATAACTTTTTACGCATAATACAGTGGCGTACTCATTCTGTTTCCGTAATGGCTCATTTTCAGAAATTGAAGCCAAAATTTCCTTTTTCAAATGGGACACCCTGTATATTTCTTTACATTTCGATTCAGATTTTTTTCGGCTTCCCGAAAATATATAATAGTTGACATTTTTCTATATTATTGATGTTTTAATTAAAATATATTCTTTTACTATGCGTTTTCGAAAGTAGGCCGTGATGACTCAGTAGAAAACAAAGTTGTTTATAGCTGTCAATAGTTGTTGACATGAACGCTTATCAAGCTTTCATGCTATACTGTGTTTTCAAGAGTTTCACACTAGAGACGAAACACGAAAGTGGCACGAATAATGTTTCAGTATCGATGTTCACTGGGAAATTCGAATTCCATATGATATATTCGTCATTTGAAAATAACGTCAGCAAACATCTTTTTCATGTTTTTTCGCCCAGTGGGATAGTGTTGTGTTCAAACCTTCACTTACAAAATATCTGTGCTACTATACAGATTATTTCGTGGATGTGGATCAGTTTTGTTAAGTCATCTTGTATGTAATTGCAATTGAATCCCTGTTTCTGGCACCATTTTTGGACTAGTCCAAGTGCCTTTCAAGCTATTTCGAATACCATTCCTGTAGAAAGATCTATAGTGGAGTGGATAATTTCACGTCATCACCATGTTGCAAGAGCAGAATGGCTATGTACAGCAATATACATCGTAGTAGAGGAGAGTACCCCTTCATTGTTTGCTGAGATAGTATCGCTTGGATCCATCGGACGGTGATGTATTGTCAAATGCCTCTTGATTTCGATCAACACCTTTTTGTCAAATGGATTTAGAGGGTTGTCTCGGTGGACTATACAGTCTTTACATCATGTTCTGTGAACTCCTGCTTTAAACAGTTTCTCATATTATGAATCAATGGTGTGGTTTCGAAATTGTTTTATTCCATGAAAAATCCATATCGACGTCGTCATGACGAACTGTTGTAAGCGCCAAAGTTTCAGAAAACTGTTTCTCATGGCAGAGGATTGCTCACAATCGTATACTTATATGTAATGATGCGAAGGGTTCAAGCGACGAAAATAAGTACCGCGAGTATTTTGACTCTGACTTTTCTAAGCTACAAGAATGTTCCTATGATGAATCGACTCGGTCCTTATCAAACGACTAGTTCCATTGTCCAAACAAAATGTTCACGTGTATCTACAATAATTCGAAAATAAATGATTTGTATGTTTGGAATAAGCGCATTCAGGTATTGGAATCATGATCTAACCGAGTGAGGGATCGATTCATTTGATTTTGTTGATGAAGCCCTTCTATATGTATTTCAGATTTCTAGGTCGGCGTAAGCGCCATCTTACTATGCCAAGAGCATGGGTATTCGAGAACTTTTGAGAAAAGTGACAATATTTCGAAATAATATGGTTTCAACCTCTATAGGACTGAGGAATCAATATCAAAATTGATTCCATACTTTGTCAAAACATCTCTTGACTCCTTCTAGAGTTCTCTGTGAGTTTTGGTTTCTGCTCAGTCACTCACGCCAGTGATCCAATTTTCGATTCTAACCTTTTTATCGTGTGAGTACTTCTGATTTTGTTTTCCATGCCAATTTTTTTAGTTCAAAGTTTTCAATCGTTTTATAGACGATAACAATAGTTTTCGTTCAGTTTATTTCGTTAAGATGGAGAATCTCCATATTTTGAAATCATAAATAGATATTTTAGAGCTTACTTCGAGAAATATCAATCAGAATTATTGTTTGTGATATGTTTCATTAGAGAGAATGTAAGTGTGTATTCACCATGTTTCATTTCATTGCATATTAATAATCAAAAGTCGCGAAGGACTATCTACCGCCCGATCGAATATAATTGAAAAAGACTAAACTTTTGTGAACGCATTCGGAGAAAACTTCACTTAGTAATTGAAAAAAGGCGTAGGTGAACGACATTTCATGGAATAACTTTGAAGTTTCTAGTTCTTTTCAGAATTTCTTTCCTCATAAATAAAACGAGCAGTATGTCCAAATGTCGCTTATGCCCTTTCGTCATGACGACGTCATATTATGGTTGAATATAAAATTCATAGTGTTGTTTTCACGTCTTCAACTCTGTGATCGACTCAAATATTCTTATTTCAGATGTGCTATACCAGATTGTGACACCAATCCAGCAGAATTCGAACCCAGTTGGCTATCAAATGCAGTGCCCTACAAGGGCTCAACCCCTACAAAATGTGAAAAATATATTTTCAATGGAAACCACACTAACATCAACTATGGTTCTTGTCCATTCAATGCTTTCGATAGGAATAGGGAAATCAAATGTTCGTCTTTCGTCTACAGAACGGAAGAGAAGAGCATTTTGCAAGAGGTAAGGAAATCGAATGAGAGGCCTAATAATTATTAGATTTATTGAAATAAGATTCTGACTTTGTGAAGATTGTCCTGAATCTCATCAAGAATGTTCACTTTAACTTGAATATACTCGATATCATCAAAAAAACGGATGATGGGGGATAATGAATTGGAATGCCTGATAATTTTGAATCAATTATATCAGGATATCTCGACAGAAATGGTTTTGATATTTTTTTTTGCTCCTATTACCTACTTCACTTTCATTGCTTCAATATCGGATATAGATGAATACCCTCTATATGTCCCCCAGGTCATATCATTCAACAAAAATGATTTGATAACATCACACATCCGTCTATTTATCTAAAAACGAATCTGAAATGAGGTAATAATATATTTACGGGATAAGAAATAAAAAAGCTCCAGGAAAAGACAAACTGACATTAGAAAATCTAGAGGATCTTGAACCATACACAACAAAACCTCTGTGCCATATAGTTGATCTGATATTTCAGACAGGTATATACCCAACGCATTTCAGAAAAGCTATCGAAACGCCATCTGGCTGTAGAAGCAACGTCAAGAACTACAGGCCTATATCACTATTTTATGTTACCAAATACTTGAAAAAAATAGGAAGGCCAGATTATCTTCTTTCAAGAAAAATGTCAATTGATTTTTGATCGTCAATTCTGATTCCTGGAGAAGAAGGCTACCGTGAGTACCATAATAAAATAAATCATTAGTTTCCTATCATTCATTCCTATTACTGATTTTCTCATAAAAGCTTGTCGCGCGATTCACTTGTGTGAATGAACTAGTACTAATTTGATTATGTAAAATCTGCTGAGATAAAATTTTTAAAATTACAATTTAATCAAATATCGGTCATCAAGACAAGCTTTTTTCAAATAAATTGTATATAATGAGGTTATAAGTTAATAGTTAAAATTATTGAGAAAAATTTAATTTTTTTATTTTTAGAGCGTTTAAATAAAAGCTCTTTATTAAAAAGTTTTTTTTTACTTTCGATCTATTTTTCAATTTCTAGTTATCGCTAGCTGGATTTTTCGATTTACTCTCAACGAGAATTTTCATTTGATACCCATATTGTAGAAGTATATTGAAAATGACCATTCCGCCATCTTGGATGGTCCGCCATTATGGATTTAGAATGACGTCACATCATTTTTTGGGTTACTCTCAACGAGCCTTTTCATTTGATGCCCATATTGTAGAAGTATATTAAAAATAGCTATTCCGCCATCTTGGATGGTCCGCCATATTGGATTTAGAATAACGTCACATTATTTGAAGATTTCTACTTCAAAATTGAGTTCAAAGATTCCACCCGAACATACATACATACATCCATACAAACATACAATGCCAGTTAAATAAACGCTTTTAATTATTAAAAAATGAGTCAGGGTGCAAAAGCTGAAACTTTAATTACAATGAACCATAACTTGAATTCTACAAAAATACCTCCACATCTTGTGTTTATGCATTCTTGAAATCACTTGCGCTGCGGCGTTGGTAGGAGAAACCATGGTGTGGAATGAACTCCGAAAAAATGTGAGAAAAAAACCTGCTCGTTTTATATTATCTGTAAAGCAGATTTTTCCTCTATGCCAAACACTTTTATAACACATATGTATATAACGTACAATTGCCCAAAACCAGTCTGCGATTTTACTAAATACACTGTACGCTAGCACAAACCACGCCCACCGTAATATCTCATCTTCGAAGTACTTAGGCAAAACTCATGCAGACTATTTATCCTTAACGAACTAACCTATCCCTGATTGCAATATTTTTGAAGAAGGAAAACCGAATGGAGTGTAGAAACACATTGATTAATAATATATTTCAAAAGATGAGTTCTTCAACAAAATTGAATAAAATGAGACTGTTTATCCTAAACGCACTAACCTATTTGACTTCAAATATTTTATGAAAAAGGAAAACCAGAATGAAGTAAAAAAACATTGGTGAAAACAAAGTTGCAAAAAAAAGTTCAATTTCACAGCGATTCGAACCATGGACCTTCAGACTGAAAGTCGACAGCGCTAACCAGTCGACCATTTGGGCATATAAATTTACTGCGTACCAGAGATTCACAACGAGAGAGCTTCAGTCGGATTCGTGTCAAAATCATAAAAAGTGTATTCTTGCGTTGGAGTGGTTTGTGCTAGCGTGCAGTATATTTAGTAAAATCGCAACCGGTCTATAGGCGTCTATCGTTAACCTGGCTAAACCGAAATCAATAGGCATTCAGGAAAGAAACATTTGCATTCGTATTCGTTCATACGAATCGTTGCATAGATTTAATGAGGATGTAATTTAATATTCTACGTGACATTAGCCAGGAAAAAAGTAGTTTTTCTCTTGTCATCAACCAACTCAATAAACACAGTTACGTGGAAAGAACGTTAAATTCTTGAAGTAACGATACTATTATTCATCGTTGAAAAAAACGGCAAAATGTCGTTAGGCAATACGTTTCATTCTGGTTACCTTTTCACGTTAATTCATCTTAACTAACACGAGGCACGCGTAATGTGAATTCTACTGAAATAAACCGTTTTGGTTCAGTTCCTCAGTTCCAACGTAACCATACATATCAACAGTATCTTAGCGATTTTTATACGTTTTCAACCGATTTCGATAGAACGATGTATGTATTTTGGTTTCGAACTCGGTTTCAAAGTGACATTGCTGAGATACGAATTCTGAACGTTTTCATGTTAGTACTGAAATTGAACGTGAAATCTCAGTATCCAGGTTACGTTGATCTAATCTAATCTAATCTAATAAGGTGAAGTAACGTTGCCATTCCTACTACTTATTGCAAATTAATTAATCTCAATCAGATTGGTATCACGATCACTATTTTAATTTGGGACTCGAGACTTGATGGTCATTCATCCGTTTCTTCGCAAAGTTCAACCAGTCCTTGATTGCATCTGCAATATGGACATCAGTTGCTGCTCCAAACTTCCTTCCGACAGCAACTGCATCAATTATACAATGTGTCCTTGAGTGCAGCCTCTTTTCCTATGCCTTTTTATTTGTGAAGTCGAGCTAGCTGATTGGTTCTCAAAATCCTCCTTGTGTGGCCCTCTGAAGAATTGCCACCAATTGAATTTAATCTTGTGATCTGAAATTTTGGATCATTTGTGATCGAAACAAATTTTGATAAATCAATGATCAGTTTTCATGAAATGTATGTATGTATATGTTCTCATATCAGTCCTATCAATTTTCCAGAATATTTCGTACCATTTCTAAACCATTTGTCAACCTTTATTACATCAACACATTCACAACGTGTTTTTTATCAACCTTCTATACACGTTTTATCACTGTTATTACAGGTGGTAAGACAAAACGACTCCAATAATGAAATGTTATATTTCTTGACTAAAAATGTATAACTATAAATACAATAATACTACCATAATATAAATTTGTGCAAGTTGGAGTAAGTACCTACCGTATATGAGAGTTTGTTAATCTTTCGACACGACAGAATTGAATAAGTAGGTATAGCTCTTGGTAGGTAGAGGTACTCATTGTGCTGTAAGTCGAGCATGTCTGCAACCGTCTTCAAGAGATGAATGTTAGAAATATTCTAAATTTGCACAATACATAATTATGTAGAATTCGATAATGAAGCGGCAACTTACCAATCTCCTATCTTTTCACATCTACACATAACCTCTGAAGAATCACAATGACCCGTAAACTGCAATAGCGTCAGACAAACTGAGCATACTGGCGAGTGGCGGTGGCGGACTGCCGATAGTTCAGGTTCATTCAAAACGAATACTTTTGAATAATTCATTCAACGGATAAAACATGTATTCTCAAAACGTCCAATAAACGTAAGAAAAATGTAATCGGAACATGGAATATAGGTTGCTCAAAGATATAGTTCTTATTCAATAATGCATTCAACAAATCGTACAGGTAATTTCATAACGTTTATTAAACGTGAAAAAAAGTGGATGAAACGTGGAATGAGGGATTCTCAAAGATATAGTTGCTATTGAATGATTAATTCAACGGATCATACACATAATTTCAAAATTTTCAATGAACGTAAGAAAAGTATTTATTGATTTAAAACTGGAACTTCATAGATTGCTCAAAGATGGAGTTGTTATTGAATAGAGCATTCAATGAATCATTCACTTAATTTTATAACGTTCGATGAACGTGAAGGAAGTAGTGATTGAAACGGGGAATAAAGGTTGCTCAAAATCATAGTTGCTGTTGAAACATTCTTCAACGGATCATACACGTATAATCTCAGAACGTTCAATGAACGTAAAAAAAAGTAGTAATTGAAACGTTGAATATAGGTTGCTCAAAAGTATATTTGTTATTGAATAATTGATTCAACAGACGTGATTTCAAAACGTTGAATAAACATGAAAAAAGTATTACAGAATTGAAACTTGAAATAGAGGTTCAGGTTGCTGAACAATGTCATATTCGAAGTTTTTGTAATGTTCTCTGAACCTCATTGAATGTACTTTGGGGAAGCATGATAGGGACATGTTGTGTGATGGTGGCTACATAGACGAGTTGCATCATAAACGTTCATTATAAGTTGAATCAACATTTGGTTGAATTAGCGTTCCGAAAGTAACGTTGCAAAATTCAATGAGTAACGTTTAATCAACGTCCACTACTACATATAAACGTATATTACACGTGTGTGTGCTTTTATAAGGATAATGTTGTTCATTTTATGAACATGCGTGGAAATGAATTCAAGATTCATAACTATTTATACTGCATGACATGAACCAGGAAAATATTTTTCTTCCGTCATCTACCATTAAACATGAACTTTTGTGGAAATAATTTTGATGATTGTATCTATTCGTTTGATAGTTCAATTCACTTTGAGCATTTTGGCTTTTTCGTGGTTATAATTAGACCAGTTCGAATGCAACAAATGAGATAAGATCATCATATTCTAAACATCCCGTAGGT